ATTAATATTTAAATTTAAAAGCTAATTGAATTTTTAAATTTTGAATTGAGATTTTAATTTTTAAATATAAGTTAAGAGTTCAATTTTTTTGAAAATTCAAAATTAATACTCATTAATTTCTATATAAAATATATAAAATATATTTTTAAAGAGTTAAAGTAAATTATAAACTTTAATACCAATATCTTTTTATAATTGAAATTTGAAAATTAATATATTGTAGAATTTTATTGTAGAATTTTGCTAACTGCCAACTGCTAACATTTGAATGGTTAAGTTGGGAATCAGATTACAATTTTCTGCTAATTACTAAGAAGTTTCCAAAAACAAGGAAATGATGAATAATTAAGTTTCTAGACACACGTACCCTCATTGACTCAATCCAATTATTACTCGTTAGAGTGGATTTTACGTTTAAACATCAACTCTCTAATCCTAATCTCCTCGTTCGGCGCGTGCTTTTTAAACATTTCGTTGTTGTGTTTATCGCTTTTTAGTCGTTGGTAAAATTGTCTTGAGTGCCGTATCCGTTAATCCTGCTTTCTTTTCAATTGTTTTTGATATATCACTTTTGATTCGAAAATCATATAGTTTTAATGTTATTTGGTATTGTAATGCTATGTTATGATATTTTATTATATAATTTTTTAATTTAAAAATTATTATTTATAATATTATATTTACTTAATTAATAATATATTATATTAATTTAATAATATATTATAATTATAAATTTATAATCTTATTAGATATGATAATTATAACTTGTGTTATTTTTAATTAGTGGTTTAACGGTTTTGTGAAATTAGTAATTATTGGTTTTTAATATTGGTAATTTAAATACTCTTATTTATGTAATAGATTAAAGAACATCATTGATTATTACTTTCTCTATTTTTAAAATAATACAAAATTTTTTACTTTTATCTTGAGATTAAAGATTTATGAACCATTTTTATTTTCACTTATCTTATCCAAAAAAGAAATAAAAATAATGAGACATTTTTATAATAAATAGATAATTTTTTTTGAAAGGTAATAAAAAATAAGAAATAATTACAATATTAAAGTAAGAGAAAAGTATTTATCTTTGTTAATATATATAAAAAAAATAAATATTATTTGGAGCTAATTTTTAAATGAAAGAATATATTATTTTGAGAAAGATAAAGTGGTTTTAACTGTTTTACTATTTCATGTTTTTATAATGTTTTCCAACCTTCTTTAATTGATTTTTCTTTTTTCCCTCTTTAAGGAAAACGGATATCTTTTCATTGAAAATTATTCCTATACAAAAAGAAAAGAAAAAAAATAATAGTGAAAACTATGCAGGCCCTTGCGTTTCAAATTTTTTCTATTTTGTAGCAAGAGAGCTCACTTCAGTTATTTTCAAAAATAATAATAATAATAATAATAATAATAATAATAATAACAGAAATAGAGTTTTAATTTATTAAAGCATTATTAGAGCTCCATCTTAAGCAAAAGCTGTTTTTTTGACATAGAGGATAACTGTTAAGTTTTTGTTGGTTCCTTGTACGTTGACTTAAAGGCTTGGCATTTGCATCCACCGGACATAAGTCAGGCGGTGCAATTATTCACTTGGATTTCATCCAATGGCTATCATTTTTTTTTTTTCTTTTTTCAATTCAATTCTTTTAAAAGCAAATTGAATAAAAAAATATTAATATAATATTTAAAAAATTCTATTTAGGTATAATCATTAGAGACATAGTATCTCAATTAAGTTCTCAATATTTTTATTTTTTAACAAATTCAATTCGCAGGGGATCGAATTCGAACCATTTCCTTGGGATGGAGGTATGCACTTATTCGTGATCTAACGTCACTGGACCGAAGGCCCAAATGCAATTAAGTTCTCAATATTGGGAGAGTGGGATTATATAAAACAGATTTTTTTTGTCCATATTGGGATAGGGTTCTTTGATCTGTCTTAAAATGGACCTCTTAAATTTCATATACAAGTCCCAAATGGAGATGTATTAATATTTGATTTTTTCTATTTTACTATTTGTTTTAAAATAAATTGAGTCGAAACTTATCACTTATCTCATAATTTATTAAGTTAAAATTTTCAAATTATCAAAAAATTAACCTTATGTTGTTAGCAATGATGGATCTCTATACTTATATATCAATCACATTTATACTTCTATCCTAATATAGAATTTAGGGTGTTACAATTTATTCATAAATATTTGGTACCTTATATATCTAGCAATACAACCTATTAAATTGACATTTCACAAGCATAAAGTTAAGTGTCTTTTTTGGTGTAACTGGAGTTTTTAATAGAAGTTTTGTTAAAAAAAAACTGTCGTAAAAATATTGTTTTTGTAAATAAAAAGAAAAATGAAGATAAAATAAAAATAATGTGTTAGTTTCATTAAAATCTAAATGAAAAGCTCCTACAGAAACATCAATTTGGTATTTATGAGATTTGTAATAAAATGCAAAAAAAGTTAATTTGTAAGAAATTATAGTATTTTTTACTAGTTATAATGTTTGGTACAGCTTATGCTTTTGAAACCAAAAAGTCATTTTCACAGGATGCAGCAAACATGTTGGCAGAAGAAGTATTCTAGGGAGTTATTTCTTATTATATATTGTAAAAAAATGATTTTTTTCCTAGTGAGTGTTAACTCAATTAATCTCTTATTGATAATAGAACATTAGATCTATAGTTAGTTTTCATAATTTGACCATCCAAGTCATATATTCAACATCGTTGAACTATAATGAGCCCATAGGCTTATCCCATAGACTTATCCCACTAAGCTCATGGTTCTTACCAAACCATTAGCAACAACATGCAGCCGTGCCAAATACGAGGTAACTAAGTACTAGATGATTTGACAAAAATAATAAATTAATTATAAACCAAAATTTTGTTTACAGACTATTTTTATAGGGTACTACTATCTATATGAAAAAACTAAAAATTAAGACAGCGACATTTTAAATGTTAGACTAAATTTGGAAATTATGCAAATAATTTATTTTTTGTGTTAATTTATTAATCATTAAAGATTTTCAAGTTTTTTTTTTAATTATTATTAATGACATTTTAATTGGTCAAAGTCTTAATTTTCTACAATCTTATGTATATGTATAGCATAGTACATATTAATCTTGATTATTAAAAATAATAATTTTTTTATTAATTTCTCGATATTCGGTAATTACGTTAAGTTTCAACTAATTTAAAATCAAGCGGTATTAGATCCCATCAGGAATAAGCTCTCCCAGCATTTGTTTCTCCATTCACAACAGTCGAACTCAAAATTTTACTTTAAAGGAATCGAGTTCCTTCCACTTGGATCAACAAGTCGTTGATACAAAAATTTTCTAATTAATAATTTAAAAAATTAACTATTACATTTAGTGCTCTATTCATGTAGATTGTGCATATGAATTTTTCATATTGATTACATATATAACTAGTTTATTGATTATAAAAAATTTATCATTGTTAAATATATATCCGAAAATACAAATTTTTTAATTGAATAATTATAGATGTTAAACTAATTTAAAAATTCACATATATAATTTATATCAATAAAATATTAAATTTAACGATTGATTTTTAAAAATATTTATCACAAGTTGGCTCTTGAAAATATTTATTGGAGGGTGATATTTTTGAAATTGTGACTTTAAAATTTTTTATGAGAGTTGGGATACATATCCACTTTTCTCACATATATATATATATGAGTTATGATAAACTTATACATAAATTTTACATATTACATTTATATAAAATCTTAATATTTTATCTTTGAACTTTTAATAATTAAGATTTGTTTCGTTCCTATCATATTTATTAAAAATAATTATTTTTTATCTAAAATGTCTTGATAAGTGTTAATATATATAAATGAGTTAGAATTTATTTACATACAATTCTTACCCTTTATATTTACATAAAATTTTGATCATTCATCTCTTAACTTTCAATGGTTGAAATTTATTTACTTTTTATCATATTTCTTAAAAATAATTATTTGTTAACTGAAAAATCACAATAAAAATTAACTATTAAAAATAGATAAACGAATTATCAAGATTTTATTTAACTATCCTACGTGAACTTATACGTAAGCAAATCTATAGGAGGAGGGGAGGGGTGCGAAACTTATATGTAAGCAAAGCTATAGGAGGAGGGAAGGGGTGTGAGGGGCCGGGCAGCAGCCTCCCTCAACTTTTGAAAAGTTTTAATTTTAGTATACATAATATTTTTTTCCTTTTTAAAGGTTTTAAATACTATATTTATCATGTGAAGCTTTAAGTTATTTTCATTTAACTCTTTATAATCTTTATAATTTTTCATACTTACCAACTTGAGACCAATTACAATTTGTAAAATTTTTATATATTATAACCATTATTTCAAATATGAAAAGAATATTAGGACACAATTAAGTGTTTTACAAATGGTAAGAATATTATAATATAAACAAATGAATTTCTCGCATAATGAATAAATTAAGAATTAAGACTCTTAATTAAATCCAAACTCAAATATTTTTTTCTTTTAAGATTTTGCATTGTTTTAAGATTTTATTTTTTTATTTTCATTTTTTATTTTAAAAAGTGATTTAATTAATGAAATTTTTAATTGATAAAAATGTTTTAATCTTTATTTAACCAAATAATTTCAGTTTCTAAGCATTGAATTACATGTTTACGTTCACTCTATGATATTGTTTTGTTCTTAGGGATAGAAAAATATAACTTATAATAAATAAATTTGTAAAAAAAATAAATATTTTGCAATAAAAATAGTAAGATTTTGAAATTATTTGAATTAATTGGTCTATTATTTGAATATTATCATAGAGAGACGTTATTTCTTATTCTAATATATAAACTGATTAATTTAATAAAAAATTATTAGAAAGATAGAAAATTCTTAAGAAAATTAATGAATGTCATATTTATGACTTAAGTCATTAAAATAAAAATTTGCCCCTTCACTTTATTTTTTGGTTCCTACCACATAGATATTTGACAACAATGTAAGGCTTTTAAAATAATATGATGCTATTAATTTCTATATACATACAAATTTTAAAATTAATATAATTATAATATCATATAATATTGCTACATATTGAACATACAGTTACATATTCATGACTTTAGACAATAAAATCATAGTTATTATATAACAATAACTATGATATAGATGCTCCTAGCAATCTATAATAGTGTTAGCAATAAACATATATATATATTTTTGTCACATAGTGTTAGCAACAAATATTAGTCTCCTGAAGCTAACATATAATTTTTGCTTCGCCTTTCAACCTGTGGAAGCTAATGGATATATTTTGTTTGACCTTTCAAGCTCTTAAAGTTAATGTATATATCTTATTTCATATTTCAATCCCCCAAAGTTAATATATAATTTTTGCCTCAACTTTTTAATCACTGTAGCAATAATTGGCATAGACCTGTAAGTAATTGTGTAATTTAGCAATAAATAATTAATATCCTTTTGATAAAATAGGGGTTTGAACTCTT